TAGTGAGACAAATAGAAATAACTGGGGAGAGGTGGTCCTGCAAATTACTGGGCCCCACGCCATGGGGGGGTTTATAGGTGACAACCAGCACCTTCAGTTCTACCACAGTTCCAAGCACATTGGCAGCCAGCACAACTCTCAGAGCAGAGTTGTATCATGGATGTACCAAGGTGCACCTGTAACTGCCTGCACCACCACATTCTGGATGAGCTACAGCTTCTGGATGTTCTTCAAGGGCTGCCCCATGTGAAGCACACTGTAGGTATCCATCCTGGGAGGTTGACTAAGGCGTGAGTGACCATAAGCAATATCTCCAGGTCCAGAAATGGGCACAATTAGCATGCAAAACGAAGTTGTGCAAAAATTCTCCTGGCCATGGCTACCACTGATACTTCAATCTTTATGAACTATGTGTCTTGGGTTTAAATGAGTCTATTACTTAATACGTCTCCAGATATTTGGCAAGTGTAATTTACTCGTGTAGCCTAAGGCAATGAAAGTCCCTGATCTGTATTAATTAAGGGTGGGGAGAATTTCATGCATTGATCTTTAATTAGTCAATGGAGCATAGTTTGCAGAATCTTGTTAGATATTAATAGAAGTGTGTGTTCCCGGGGGTGGGGTGGGGGCAGGGGAAGAGAATATGGGTGCATAATTGAACTTGCCTCTGATAATTCATTTTATCACAAAATTCCAGCATGATGCAATTGGTGCATTTCACTTGTACTGTTGATTCTTTGCTTCTCGGTAGAATTTTTTCACCTGAGTGTAAGTAACACTTAGCTTGGCTTGCTGCACTCTTGTTTTGAATTGCAACAACAAAATCAGATTTCAGGTATTATTGATATTTATGGACTTTGTTTTCAGAAAGCTTTTGAGTCTTTATTAATGAGGCAGAGGAAGAAGAAGGCTAACAGTAGAGACAATATGAAGCTATATTTGGGATAGGTTTCGGATGTTCTGAACTTGGCAGCATAGTTTCTAATATATGACATCTGTTGTTTTGCCAGCAGCTTGGTTCTATCTGTTTTTTAAAACTGAAAACTATACATTTTTGGTAGACTTTCCTATTTCACTACAAATATATAGAGTTTATTCCTTGTAGAATGTTTAAATTAGTGTGAACTACCTGAAAAGAGTATTTTGAAAGATGAGTACTGGAAATTGATGATAATACAATGACAAGATTGCGGAATTCAATTGAACCCTGTTGGCAATAAAGCTATGATTCAATTCAGGTGACATCAGTCAAAAATTCTTGGTGTTATCTTTACATCCTATCATATTGGACTTCACAAAAGGACAGAAAGCCCAGTGTAAGAAAACAGCTTGTTCAATTAGTTCCTTTCTCTCTCATTATCTCCCCCCCCCGCCCCACAAAAACGATATACTTGTTTCAGTCTTTATCCATCAACTTTCTTCTTTGGTGACTTTTAAAAAACAGATCGGTATGCTGGTAACATTTAGATACAGCTTTTCCAAATTATCAAGAGTGGAAGAACAACCAGTCTCTCCAACTGTTTTCCTTTAGAGCATATAAATCATTGTTCTTAATATGGCATTTCCTTTAGGGGGTGTACACAAAAGAGGAAAATGCATTTTGTTCTGATTTTAAAACAGAATTGATACATTCTGGTGGAAATTTTTGAGTGTTCTAATGGAACAAAACTCAATACTTCTCCAGTGTTTTGTATTTGGATAGAACAAACGCAAAAGATGCAGTGAAAACTTAAAATGGGTATCTTTTGTTTTTCATCCTAGGGTCACAAAAGTTGTTGAGATGTTAGTCCATGCCAAATATAACTTACCACTCAACTTACCGAAAAATTGAACAATGGATTAAAAAAAAAAATAAACATTTTAAAAATTCCAATAGGAAATAGTGGAAGCAACACTTAAACATGCTTTTTGCAACTTCTTCCTGCACAAGTAGCCACAGAATTTATGCCCAAAGAATCAACTGCATCGACTGTATATTTTAACTCAGCCCATGAACAGAAAAAAATACATGGTTTTTGTATTTTACAACCTGAAAATTCAGTAGCATACCAATTTATAAGTGCATATACCTTATAGAATGTACTTTTTTAATTTGGCAACTTGACTGAAAGACAAAGTACAACATATTTATACACACACAGTAAATAAGGAAAATGTTATGTTATAAAGCCATTAATTCTAATTGCCAAGTATTAAAGATTTAAAATACAGTGTAGACCTGGCCAGGCCATAGTTTTTTTCTTACATCTAAAATTGTTCTTAATCTTTGGACATATGCTTAGCTGAGAGCCAATGGCAGAAGAGGCACAGTTTGTGCTCATGTTTTTAATAGTTAATGCATTCTTCATACTTGGTTGGAGAGTTTTTAAAAAGCCAGTTGCATTACATCAGAATATTTGAAACAGTATAGAGTTTTATCCTGAGCTCAGAGCACTTAAATTTGGCATTCCCACCTCAAAATTTATTGGAATGGTTAGAGTATCCCTGATTTCTTTCCTTTTGAAGGGAGGGGAGATTGTGGTATTTTCCTCCTAATACGGTTCTCAGAAATTAAACAAGCACCATAATGTGGTATTGCAAAAATCAAATTAAGACTTGATGATGTTTTGCACTGTTACTGTGATCAGTTTGAGCATTGATTAATATGGATAAAGTAATAATCTGCAGATTTTTTTTTCCTCTGGGGAAAATGGCTTTATAAATGGGCATATACAAGTTCTTTTTACTTGGATCTATGAGAACCCACTTCAGATGAGAGAGGATATTTTTCCCAATATTTTGGAGCTCAATAACATGGAAAGTAAGTCTTTAAATGTGCCTTAGACGAAAACGTGAATAATTGCATCAAAAAAGTTCCTGGTATGAGGTCATTCAGAAGTGATATTTTGACAAAGTTACATCCTAAGATTCTGAGTAATCATAAAGAAAAAAACAGTCAAACAATTTATTACTTTTTCCTAAATCGTACAGCTGTTAAGATAGTGGGCAGCAGTTTTGAACATACAGGAACTGCATAAGTAATCCTAGGGTACTTCTGTGTGGTTTCTAAAGGTGTCGCCGGAGTAGATGGGTATAGCTAAATTATAATGCAGACAGATGTAGATGAGAAGACTGAGCATCATCTTCATTATAGAATTCTGCATAATGCTGGACAGACAAAATATACCATAAGTCTATACATTGTTTTATTTAACTGGGAATATTTCCTACTTCCGATTCTTTGTGGAATATAAATTGAGGTCTCAGTTGATAAATACATTCTTCCTTTCTGCAGAATAAGGGAGAACAATGTATAAAACAACCTATACTACAGCCACAGTCTGAAATCTAAATTGCATTCTTGTGTGAATAAAATACAGTTAATAAGCTGTGGGTGCTGCATCGAACATACTGCACTTTTCTAAAGACTTTCATAAATATTGATCAGCTCTCCACATTTTATTTTCTTGGGATAGCTATCAAGCCTTTTGATAAAAGGAAAACTTGCCCTGATCTATGATTTGTCAGGAGCTGTAACATTTTTAATAAAGCTGTTTCCTAGCTTACTGCTGCCTGGCCAGCCCTAAGGCTGCCTCATGCTTGCAAGCCTGACCCTCGGGTGATGTGGAAAAAAGCCAAGCCATGCATTAGTGCACATGCTGTAGATATTAACGTACTTTGACAGAAGGAAAACTTTCATTATAAATTAGAGTTTGATTTGGAGAAGTCCCCAGGGTTGAAATCTGTTTGGAATATCTGAGAAGCTAATGCTAAAATAATTGTAGCTTAATTTCAGACTGTGTTTTTAAATTGCACCAGACCAAGTCTCACTTGTCAAAATTTTAGAGAAGCTTCAGTTAAGATTTTCCTTCAAGTAATTACCTCATGCAAAAGGAAATGTGCATAGTGGATATTTGTTATGGTTAGGCTTGTGGTTTATTAACATAATTACAAAGAAGCAGAGATTGAAGTTTCTTGTTTTATAACACTGTTGTGGTTCACAGTTGCCTCCACAGCTGGTAAATAGTCTGTTCTCAATGCATCCTGTACATGCTGGAGACCAGATTGTCTGGGAATTTATAGGGTAAAGAGAAGGGTGTAAATAGTGGGGGGAGAATTACTATTTGAAAGAATTTCTTTCTTTTTCTTTTCCCTCCCTCCCTCCCTTCTAAAAATAGTTTTGTAGAACAGCAGAGGATGTATTTTGTGTGTGAATTTCAAATGAATGTTCAAATTAATTTTATCTGAAAATTAGGACCTATATTCTAAACCTGATGTGAGCATGATCTGCAGTTTTTGAAATTTCTGTTGTTGGCAGAGATAGATAGATAGATAGATAGATAGATAGATAGATAGATAGATAGATAGATAGATAGATAGATAGATGAATATATATATATATATATATTCATCAGTATAGTGAAACAAAACCTCTCAAACCATTGACTCAGCTGCTGGGTGGTTATAGAAGGTACATGAGCATTCCAGCTGATCCGAGATTCCAGCAACAGTAAGCATAAAATCTAGACGCAGTGCAGGACAGAAAAGTTGTAGGGAACGCTCAGTGGTAATCAATTAGTGGAGTGGAGTACTTCAGTTCCAAACACACTTATTTTGTTTGTTTGTCTTTATACGTTTAGCTGATTTTATATTTCGCTCTTCTAAAGAAAAAACATTGGTTTAGAGAAAACTGTCATATTAGTTTTTAAATGTAAATAACTTAAATATTACATAAATGTCTGGGCCTAACATTATGTAAAAGAATATTTCTGTCACCTGCCATAAGATAAATTGAACCTCTATGGTTAAAAGCAGTGCATCTTTTATTATTGTGTTCTGAAGAGAAACAGGAAGACAATCTATGTCCTGTTTTAAAGTTCCAAGAGAATTGCCTGCCGCAGGAATAGAAAGTTAGATTAACCTCATCATCATCATCACCTCCATACAGAATGCTTGGTTTTCTGTAGCTGAACTCTGTGTGTGTGGGTGTTTGTTTATTTATTTATTTATTTATTTTACAGGTAATAAGCCTTGATGGAACCATGAGAAAAACGCTCATAGAAGATAAACTTCCTCATATATTTGGATTTACTTTACTTGGTGACTACATCTACTGGACAGATTGGCAGAGACGAAGTATTGAAAGGGTTCACAAGAGGTGGGCGAGTCGGGACATTATCATTGATCAGTTGCCAGACTTGATGGGTCTTAAAGCAGCAAGTGTCACCAGAGCAGTTGGTAAGTGAGGCCATTGCCCAGTGGTTTGGACTGTGCTCCAGAATAATGTTTGCAGTGAAAACGATAATGAGCTTCTTGTAAGAGCTGCTAAATAGAAAGTCCAACCAGTGTAAGTTTAACTAGAATAATTGGAATCCTCCTTGCTGATTTGTTGTCTGATAGGTAAAGGGGTCTTGGGGATCAAGGCCTGAGAGGTCTTGGAGATTATGCTAGTTGTCAGAGATCTCTTTCTCATTTGGTACAGTAGCTTTGAACCCATTGGTTGGTGGGAAGGAGAGCGGCAGGTCTTCTCCTTAGCCAAATATGTGCTCCTATTGGCCCCAGGGTTCCACCTGCAAATTATTTCAGCTGCCAAGAGTAGTTCTTGACAGTAATGGAAAAAAGGCACAACCCATGCCTCGTGGCCTCATGTGAGATTTGGATGTTGTGTTGAAAGAGAACTTCCTTTTGGTAAACATTGAAGGGGCTCAGTTATTAGTATGATCCTCTTGCAGAATCTCACTTTTTCATCTTAGCAGTGTATCCATTCTCTAAGGGACCGGGGAACTCCAAAATGGTTGGAGAAATGGGAGTACAGCCACCTGGTTTCTTGAGGGTTTTGAATAGTGCTGATGTATTTCTATTTTGTTTCTTTTCCATGCTACCTAGGTCATTTTATGAGGTAAACATGAATAATTTATCATGCATTCTTACAAATGAGAAATAAGTGTAATTTTTAGGGGTACATCCAATAGACTATAAAACATCTTCTGTACAATATCTTCTGTTACAAAAGGCACGCATTATTGGCTACCAATCCCATTATGCTATTTTGACCCATGTTTATGTCTAGAGAAGCTTTCAGTTTAAGTATGAGGTAAAAACAGAGCAACCATTTATATCCTTCACCTCTGCAAATAGAAGGATCGTGCTGAGGGAATAATGGAATCTTTTACACACATACTTACATGCACTGGTTGTGTGTGTATGAATATATAAACATGAAAGTTTGCCTCCTGACTTGTGTGTATGTGCATCCATTACAATTTCCTAATTGGGGCTTTAGACACATTTCTTTCCCTTAATTTATCTCACTGTATAAAATTCACCCATGCTTTTTAACATGCTTGCTGCAGCAACAGTTCCTCATAACAGTGTTTAGCAGTGGTGGCCCAGGGAACATTTTCTGGAAATACTATAAGCTGCGATTCCCAGACAACAAGCAGGTGGGATGAGCTGAAGTGTGTGAAATGAACTACTAGCCAAAACAGTGCAAAAGTTGGGAATGTATTACTGTTAAATGAAAAACACTTACGAGGTTCCCACAGCTTTAACACCCAGGTGCACATATAAATTCATGATATTCCAACAATTTATTGTGCAAAGAAGGAATGTTTTATTCTTCCTTTAATCTTAAATGAAACTCTGCCATAAAAATCACTTACATTTAATTGGAAATTTGTTATTGTTTTCAATATTCTTTTTCCATATTGAAAAATGCTTCATGTATATTAATTCAACAATCTGTAAGATAAATTAGTGTTCTCAATATTGGAGGTAAGGGACTGAGACTAAAATATAGTGATATGTGTAAGGGACACGTGGTAAATTTGTGACCAAGATGAATTTTCAACCTAGGACTTCCAAATCTTCTTTAAGATTGGAATAACTAATAAATGGAGGAAAGCTTTTAACTTAGTTTCCTTCAGATAGACAACCCCAGAAGACAAGTTCATGGGGCAGAATTTATTTTGAGCCATTTTGAACATAGAAGGACCTATGCACGTAGGCCTATCATAGCCAAGTTTTTCTTTTCCTTCAGAGAACTGTTTTACTTTCTAGGGACAAATCCGTGTGCTGAGAATAATGGCGGCTGCAGCCACCTATGCTTCTTCACACCCCAGGAGTGCAGATGCGCCTGTCCGATTGGACTGGAGTTACTTAGTGATATGAAAACCTGCATCATCCCAGAAGCTTTCCTTGTCTTCACCAGCAGGGCAGCCGTTCATAGGATTTCTCTTGAAACCAACAACAATGATGTTGCCATTCCTCTTACTGGAGTCAAAGAAGCTTCTGCACTAGATTTTGATGTATCTGACAACAGAATCTACTGGACAGATATTAGCTTAAAGGTATCCACGACGTCTTTAACTGAAAAGTTTGCTTTGTTAACCAGCTGTTTTAATGCACTCCTTCCAGAACAATATTTTGGTTCTAACTATATTGTTGTTTAAAGCTTACAGACTAAAACACACCTCCTTGAGTGAGCCCACTAAGATAGTTTTATACGTAGGTTAAATCAGTAGGTATAAGTAGTGTGTAAACTGTAGTGTAAAAAATAAATAAAATACATTTTTTATCAGTATATTTTAAGTAATACTGTCTATATAAAGTAGCAACTATTTATGAATTTCCTCCCAAACTTTTTTTTCCTCTTTTGGATAATACTTTGGACTAAACTATTGATTGTTTCATTTGTTTTATATTCTGCAACTCCTGTCATTTTTTAAAATGGTTTTGCAGACAATAAGCCGAGCTTTCATGAATGGAAGTGCAGTTGAACATGTGATTGAGTTTGGATTAGATTACCCTGAAGGGATGGCTGTAGACTGGATGGGGAAAAATCTATATTGGGCAGATACTGGAACCAATAGAATTGAAGTGGCACGGTTGGATGGGCTGTTCCGGCAAGTTCTTGTTTGGAAAGATTTGGACAACCCAAGGTCATTGGCTCTTGACCCATCAAAAGGGTAAGGAAAAATCTCAGATGCAAATTCAATGCTTAGTATTACTTATTATTTTGATTATAAACGTGTTCCCCAAATTATGTAATTAAAATATAATCCCAAAGTTTATATAATTGGGACTTTACTGTCCTGCTCTGATTTCCATTTCTCCTGCACTGAGGTGAGAGGGTGGGGGACCACTTTAAAATGGTTCCCCCCTTGTGTCTGACTTGATTTTGGTGCAGAAGGGAAGGCTTATCCATCACCGTGGTATGTGTACAGTGGGGCAAAAAAGTATTTAGTCAGCCACCAATTGTGCAAGTTCTCCCACTTAAAAAGATGAGAGAGGCCTGTAATTTTCATCATAGGATACCTCAACTATGAGAGACAAAATGGGGGGAAAAATCCAGATAATCACATTGTCTGATTTT